TCCTCCTCCTCCTCCTCCTCCTCCTCCTCCTCCTCTTCCTCCTCCTCCTTTTCCTCCTCCTCCGAGAAGCTCTCCCAGACGCCCCCGCCGTGTTCTCTGCCTTGTCCTGCGCCTACGCGCGTCTGGCACTGTTTGTTTACGCGCCAGCGTCCAGGTCTCCCACTGCAGAGGAGCCCCTTGGGGCGCTGGGCTGGGTCCTCGGACCCGCACCCCAAAGAGGCAGGGTGTGCCCTGAGCTTGGCCATCCCCAGAGGGACCGCGGCCTGTGGGGGGAGCTTCCCGGGGGTCCCTCTTGCAGCGCGCTGGTGGCGGTGGCACCCAGGTCTCCGGGCCTCCGCGTCCCCTCTGTCTGAGCGCCCGAGACTCCGCCACCACCCTCTTCTCCTGTGTAACGGCCAGGGGTACAGAGGAGGCCGGGAGCCGGAGGAAGCGAGCCAGAGCCCCCCAGGCCCTGAGCCGCCTCCAGGCCGCGCGCCGGGCCCCTCCGGCAGGGTTCCCTACCTGGCTAGCTTTGTGGAACTGCTTCTTCAGCCCCGCCACCGACATCGCGACTGCACTGGGGAGCGGGCCGGTCCCCCGGGTTGGGCTCACCGTCCCACCGCCGGGTCCGGCCGCTGTCACCTCGCGCACTCGCGCGCGCGCCGAGGGTCGCAGCTCTCAGAGTCCGCGCCGCCCATTGGCCGGGCCGGGCGGTATGCAAATGAGGCCGCGCACCGCCCACCCGTATTGTTGCGTGGAGACCAGAGGACGCGTGCGGGGGGCGCGGCGGAGACTACAGGTTCCCCGGCCCGGCCTCGAGGGCCCCCTGCGGGACGCGGGGTCTTAGCGTCGCCCTGGGGACTTGGTGCACGACCTGCTTTTGTTCCCAAAGCGGCGTCGTCGCCAGCCTCCCTCTGGGGGAATCTTCGGTAGTGATCTGTTTTTAGGAAAGGGTCCCTGGGAAAGGTGAGTGGGGAGGAAAGAAACCCGACAGGGCATTGTGATGCGAGCACGTCTGCTTCGGCGGCCGGACTAGGTGCTTCTGGTGCAATCTGCCTGGGAGATGTTCTGCTCCTATAATCTCCCTGTGCCACGCTGCGACCTGCGGAGGAGCAGCTACCTGCGAGGCGCTTGAAGACAGGCCCCCTCCGCATTCAGCGATCCTCCAGACCCGGGCTGCTGTCTCACAATGAGGCCCACCCTGGGGCACGGAGCCCTGCGTAGACTTTCTGGACATAGCTGACCAAACTCTTCCCAGAATCCTGCTTTCCAAAGCACCCAGGCTCCTAACATCTGATCTCACTTTGGCGACTGACCCATGGTTATGAAAGAAACATCTGCCTCCATCTAAAAGCAATTTCTCTGTGTGAGCCCTCACAGGGTCCCTTTTGGCGGGCCCTCCTTGCCACAGTCACTCCTGCTTCTATCAGCCCTGGCATCCACTCAGGTGTAGGCTTTCTCCAGGACAAACATTTCACAGTCTCTGCCCTGTCCTTCAGGCCCGAGCACTTCTCCCTGTCTTCATCCTGGGGAGGATCATGCAAGTCATACCATGGTCCTGTGCCTCAGTTTCTTCACATTACCTCAATGGGAGTGGACTGGAATCTAATGAGAGATGTATGGACCTAGCAGACGGGAGAAGCCTGGATGCTCTGTGGATGCAGCAGTCCCAATTCCACTTAAGAATGGACTCTCCCCTGGGGTGACTATTGCCTACGGCAGAAAACCAGTAGGGGCCAACCTCTGGTGGGTCTGTCTTGTCCTGGGCTGGTCCACAGCTGTGTAGATCACACTCAGCTGCCTGCTTTCTGGGTTCAGAGTACTCCCTAAACTAATCTGGCTCTCTATGAGAAGGAAGAGGGATGTTTTTATTTTAAAAAGCTTATGAGTATTTCTTCCACAGTTGGTAGTATGTTCAAGCTTCCTACTTTAATTCTGGTAATTTATTGTCTTAATTTTATCAAGTGTAGAGTTGTAGGTCACCTAATTTGCATACTTCAGAAACTTCCATATACATTTTCCTTTGTGAAAGTATTTGTGATTTTTTTTCAGACATTATGCTCATTGAATGTCTGCCAATGGTATTGCTCCTTTAAACAATTTTTGAACTCCCCCCTCATTGCTACAGGTTTTCTTTCCTCTTACTAGTTTTTCTTTATTCTTATATGTTCTTTCCTTCTGTTTTGTTCAGAAAACTAGCCAACATTTCAAATTATTAGCAATAGAAACTGATCTATTTCTTATAATATGGAACTGAAGTTAAGAGTAGGGTGTCAGGTAGCCCAGAAACTCACAGAAGTAGTACAGGGGGATTTCTGCAGTATAGGAAGAAGCTAGGTAGCCAAAAACCAAAATTATCTAACAAACAACAATAAATGTCCACTGAAGTGTGAGCTTCCATTGTGTGTCTTAATCTTACAGTTGAACATGTGGTTTGCTTTTTGTTCTTTAGAGTTAGCACATGTAATGCTACAGATTTTCCTCTAGACAATGGTTTTAGTGCCATGCCTTGTTTTCATAATGTAGATCTTCTGATTATTTTCTAAATAAACTTGAAATTAGTTTTGAGTTCCTCTTTCGATCCAATGTTATTCAGGACAGTTTTTAAAATTCATTTCTAGGTGGCTTGGTTTTTCATTCTTTGTATGTTAAATTTGTGCTGCTATTGTCAAAGAACAGGTCTTGAAGATTTTCTTCGTACACAGCCTGTGGTGTTAAACTGAAGGTATCTACTGCAGAGGTTTGAAATGATATGTGGTACTCTGGTTTCTAGTGTACAGATTTTTCACTTATCCACAATAGGGACTTGTGTTCTACCATACCTTGCAGCTCAGAGGAGGATGGAACTGGAGGCTGCAACTTGGCCATTTAAGGCTTTCCTTTACCTAAGGGTCTTTTGTTTGGGAAAGGATATAAAAAATGTCCTCTTTGCGAGGAAAACAAAGATGGAGAGAAGACAAGATAAAAAGGACGTGTGTCATCTACATGGGTTGAAATTAACAGGGACTGGGAAGAATCTGGGAACTCAAACACTATCACTGAAGCAAAGGACCTTCAGATATTCTCGATAGTCAAAGGATGGTGACAAAGGGACACTGTGGTTGTCTCTGGCACTCTGAGGAGCTGGCTCATGTTCAGGCAGAGCTTTCAGTGTTCTTTTATGGTGCTCCTTTCTTCTCTCTGGTCTGCAGACTGCTTTGCTAGTACACACTGACATTTCTCTGTCTGTGGTAGATTAACTAATGGTCAACTTGCAACACTGGGCTGAAATTAATCAGCACGGTGCTGTGTGAGCAGGGCCCACCTGAGGATGGTTGCAACAGCATAAAAGAACTAGAAGGGACAATGGTGTCCTGTTGATTTTCCTGGAGAAGCTTATGGCACTAGCTTTCCTGATACGAACTTTGCTGTTCTCATTGCCCAAGGAACTCAGGGTGTACTTGTCACTGAAGATGGCTGTGGTTCTCTTTCGAGGAGCTCTGGTCCTCGCCATGAGCATTGCTTTCTGGCTCTAGTGCATATCTCTCAGGCTCCTGGCAACAGGTCCTTTATCCTGCGGCACAGACTTTCTAGTTTCTACTAGATGCTTGATACAGACTTGCATGAGAAAGTAACATGGGCTGTAGGTCTCAGCTGGACTCATGCAGGACTTTGCCATGGGATTCAGGCCCTCCGCTGGATTCTTCGGGTCTCTAATGTGTGAACAGATCTCTTACACTCTTCTGCATTTAACTTTTTGGGTGAATATTATAAACTAATCCTATAAAGTAGGTGTCCTGTATTAAATCTATTCCCTTGTAAGCCCTGACTACAACACTATCTTATGCTTGGACCAGCTTCTAAGCCTAGTATTTGCAGTCTTGCTGATTCTGTGAGAGACTCACATGGCGGGGGGAGTGTGGCCTGAAAAATCCGAGCTAAGTGATGCAAGGTTTTATGGTTCATAGTTAGATGGTCCTGCAAGGCCTCATCCACTCCTAGGTGGGGCTTGGAGAGGTGATGGATCATGGGGGCATGCTGGGTTTATAGCTAAATGTCATGTGGGGAAGTGGAACCTGGTTAGAGGTGGCAGTCACCTGGGGGCATGGCCCAAAAGGGTGTATCTTCCTCCTCATCCTTTTTATTTCTTTTGTATTTTAGGGAAGGATCTACAGGGTATTCAGGGTCTCACTACTAGATCAGACTCGTAGTGATCCACCTGTTTACAGCCTCCCAAGAGCTGGGATTACAGATGTGCGCCACCAGGCCCAGTCTCAACTGCTGTCTCCATGCACCCTGGGGGTGGGGCTGGCATGGCAGGCCCGGGGATCAAACTCTGGCCCCTGTACCTGCTTGCAGGCTCTTTAATCCACTGAGCTATTTGGCCAGCTCTCTCCCCATCCTTTGAGCATACTCTGATTCCCAATTGCCATGCCTTGAGCAATTTTCCTCTGCCACCCCCTGTGCCTTGGAGACAGCTAAGGACTGAAAGTTCCATAAACTATGAGCCAAAATCTATGATCCCTTCCTCTTTTAAGTTGTGGGTGTCCAGCGTTGTGTCTCAGCAGCTAGAAACTAACAGCAATGCTGAGGGAAGAAGAACATCTGATGTTTCAGAGCATTGTCCCACGTAGCACAAGACCAAGTCCTCTGAACTTATTCAAATATCTGTAACCAATTCTGTTTCCTGCTTTTGTTCAGCAGTAGTGTATCCTAACCAAGATAATGATACTATAATTGTAATTATATCTGTTGCCCCTTATATTTGGGGATTTTGCTCTAACCATCTTAGTACAATGATATTCTGTTTACAAGTATCATAGCTTCTTTGTCAATTGTGCTTTTAAAAAAAAATTTGCTCAGGGCCGGAGAGATGGCTCAGTGGAATAAGTGCTTCCCTGGCAAGCGCAAGGGCCTGAGTTCAATCCCCGGTTCCGCCAAAGGAAAAAAGAAAAAAGAAAGAAAAGAAAAAGAAAAATTTCTTGGGGCTAGGGAGATGGCTCAGTGGAATAAGCGCTTCCCTGGTAAGCTCAAGGGCCTGAGTTCAATCCCTGGTTCCGCAAAAAAAAAAAAAAAATTACTCTATTTATGGCTCTTTTGCCTCTTTTTTTACATCAATATTTGTATCCCTATTTTTTTTATTCATATATATACCCTATGCCTTACTTGGTAATATTAGCTTTATTTTTGACCTTTCATTTTTGTCTCAGACATGTGCTAATTAAATTTGTTTTGTTTTTGTCCAAGATATTCCTTGTCTTTTTCCTAGGGAGATGAAAAACATTCACATTTATTAGGAAGGGGCCTAATCTGTCTAAATTGTCTTAGTTTTGTCATTTTATGGTGTCTGTTGTTTCTCCATGAAGAGTCCATTTTCTATCATTATTATGTTACATTTTCTTTGCTTATTCTTCTCCTCTGTTTTGGGTGTTTATCCACCAAATTTTTACTCAAGGAGTGATTATCATCAACCTATAAAATATTTCCATTTATGGCAGCAACGGTGAGCAGAATGCAGCAGATCAGGGCTGGGGCTGGGGCCACCTCATCGCCTGCTTCTTCTCAGAGCTGCCCAGGCCCCAGGCGTCTAACACCTTGGACAGAGACTAGAACAAATCAAGTTTCTTTGGTCTGAAACAACAAATTACTCAGTTTGAGACTGAGGTACAGGTATTG